ATCTTAATGGCCTTCAACTTTGTCTCAAGGTCTGCTCTCTGGCGGATGATGTTAGCTTCTTCCTCCAGAAATTTCTTCTTCACAACAGCTGCCCGTAGTTCTGCTTCCTTTCGTTCTAAATAGCTTACATTTGACTTCACTGAGTTCCTGAGTGAGTAGCGACTCTGTGAAACAGAAGGTGGTGGGGGATTCAATAAAGAGTCTCTTCTTTTAGACACCATACTTGCTTTACAGAGCACTGTTTTGCATATCAGGTTGTGTGAGGATTCTTCATTATCACTTTCATAACTCCTGACTGTTCTAAGATATCAATAAACTTGACTGAAAGTTCTTTGTATGCCTTTTCACATGACTGTATTAAATCTCTAACAAATTTTAGAGAGCTTGGATCGTCCTTGATCTGAGCTGCACCTGCGTCCATATCATCCTTGGTGTTGCGTAGCTCCGTCGTGAATTTGGTCACTGTACGTTCATATTCCTCCTGGGCTGGAGTTCTTAAGTGTCTTCTTCTCTTTGACTCTAACGGTTCACCTGTTTCCATTAACTCTGTGTATAGGTCAGTCATCATTGCTTGGTGATGAGTCCAGATCTCTTACTGTGCACAAACAAGCTCCAAAGATTTTTGAACATGTTTATTGGCCTCCTCATTCATAGATTTACTTCAGAGGGTAAGAGACTACAATAATAAGTCATCTTACAGAGTGGAAATTAGAGGCAAACAACTTAAAATTATAAACATCAAATTGACAAAGTTGCTACAAACTAACATTCCATGTTTTACACAATGCCAAAATTCCGAGAAAATAAGGATTTACGACAGTAAACATGACGCTCACAGATACAGACCTGTTTACCCATATTGTTGTCTCTCAGTATTTTTTATTACATTTGTCAGTGAGATTTGGCATTTGCCAGTAAGATTTCACCTTCCATCAATTTTACATATATTACTAGAGAACAACTACATTTTTGATTACCAAAACATGGCTTAATAACACAGAAAAACATGGTTTAACAAAATAGTAACATATAAAAAGATTGCATTCCTTGCACTGAAAAACTAAAATAAATACTAATATCAAAATAACAGAGAAATTAATTCATTTGTCAAAACTGAAAGTATGCCATATGAAGAAATGTCTTCCATATTGTTACATATATTTAATTAGTCTTTAAGGGATCTGTAATAAGCCCCTTTCAGCTTCTGAATTGTTGATTTGCTGTGTTCCCTCTCAGTGCTTCCTAATTTTCCTGGCCTGGCCTTCAGTACAAGAAGAGCTTCCAAGGTCTCATCACCAAGTGAACTTCTCTGGTCAGTTCTGTTCTTTCTTACTGTACTAAATACACGTTCACAATGGGCACTGCTATGTGGAATAGTAAGAATTCCAAGCATCACCTTTGCAAGCTCACAATAGCTCTTTTTCCCTGTTTCATCAGTATACTGAGCTATATTTCTCCAGGTTTCATCCATCCTTTCCTTCTTGCAGTCATCTATGTCAGAGCTTTGGTATTTAACAAACTGTTCTATAATTTGATCTTTGGTACCTCCAGAAAATGATACAAGACATGGGAACTTTGTCAGGAGATTATCTAGTGATGTGGAATTAACTGTCAGTTTCAGTGAGACATCTGCTACTTCCACATCTTGAAGAACTTTGTTGTTAATTGGCAATTTTCCTTGATATAGGTACAGGCTGTCTGAAAATATTTTACTACATCTGAATGAAATTCTTTGATTCTCTTTTCCCTCAAGTGGTTCTCTTCCTTGTGGACTAAAAACTCTCTGGCTTCTTCTCCAATCACAAGATTTTGGTTTGCCTTGATGTTGTATTTAGAATGATAGTCAACATCCTCAACACATCTATCCACCATGGCAGATGGTTTTACAAATCTTACTAGAAGATCCCTTAGTAGGAGTCTGAGTGACCGTCTGAGTATATGAACTTTGGGATCTTCTGCTTGGAGAGTTGTTAGAATCTCATCAAACACTTTCACTGTGTATTTCAAAAACAAGGCATACAGTTTGTTTGTTGGTGACTTGACAAAGTTGAATATACTCTCAACCTTTTTCTCAGCATAACTTGGTTCAAAAGATTTTTCTTCCATGCTTTTTGCACCAGCTGGTTCTACCTCTACCTTCTTGGACTTCTCAATGCCACCTGTCTTCTTATTTCCAAAAGTATTCTCTTTACTGCTGTTTATTGTCACTGGCTTTCCAATATCTCTTTTCTCACTGCTAATCTTCTTGGATTTTTCTTTTTCTTGTTTCGCAAGCACGATGTCATGTTGATTCTTGAAATACTGCTTGAGAGCATCCCAGTTGTGTATGAGACGATCAATGCATCTGAAAGTAAATAGTTAACAATAAAACAATGAAAGCTAATGCCATATTCAGAGTAAACAAATTAACAGATTTATAAAATCTCTCAATATGTACCTGGTAATACTCAGCCATCTTGTACAAACATGTTTCAACATTTTCCGTTGTTCAACATCAAAAAGAACTTGTGTGCCTTTAAACTCTGATTTTCGCTTTTCACTTTTGGCAAAATAATAGTATATGTCCACCAAAACATCATCAATTGGTGGTAGACATTTAGCTGCTTTCTTTGCTGCAATGTGAACTAAATGCAAGGGACAACCCGCAAGAAAGACACTGGCTGCTTGTCTTTTATGAAAGCAAAAACACCTCGTTTACTCCCTATCATGACATTTGCATTATCACATCCAAAGGCAATGCAGTTTTCCCAAGGAATATTTTTATCTGTTAGTTCTTCATCCATAAGTTTGAAAATGTTTTCACCTAAGTAAACAAAAAAGTCAATGATATAAAATGTTCTAAGTGAATTAAGTCATTTTAAAACATAATTACATGCATATTATTATTCATTTCTTTCTGTCTTAATGCAAGTTATATTATATGCATGTAACCTGTTGCCGCTCCAACACAAATGGGAATGCTCAAGAGTTCTGAATCCACCGACATTGTTATGGGATCCAATGTTCGGACCACAAGTGGAAACTGTTTGCTTGTGTCATCATTGCTCCCATCAGTAGAAATTGTGAAGGGTTGAACCTTCATTCTGGCTGCAATGTTGTCCATTGTCACAGCTGATAACTCCTTGATACTTGCAGTTGCCTTGTTTCTACCACATCGTAGCCCTGATTTTAATGAAATTAATTTGGTTATCAAAAATAGATAAATTAATCGAGTTTTCAGTTTATAATATAGAATTTTTTGAAAAAAAAAATCTAAATGATTTATAAATATTTAAACTTTGAGTATCACCTTTATAATGAATATTTTTTTTCAAATCTATTCAAATTACTTTCCCTAATTTTAAAATGATTTATTTTTTACTTTATTTATATATAATATTTATTCTTTGTTTTATTAGCAAACTTTTTTTGTTAATGTTGGGTAATGCGTACCTTGAGCTATTTTTGAGTCCGGAAACATCTGCTTCAAGTTGGAACACAAAGTGTCAGCTGTACTTAATGATAGATTCATATCGGCGATAATTTCACAAACACGAACTTCCGCTTTTGTTATCCCTATCTGTAATGAATCATCACCTTGTTCACGAAATTCATCCATATTTCTGTTCCCCTTCCGAATTGACTCCCACTGTTTGTGCGTTTTAGTTTCAATACGTCGTTTGCAGTCATTTCTGCCAGCATGGGCACAAGAAAAGTCTATGTTACAAATACCACAATGGACATAAGTACTGCCTTTCGTTGACGGACCAAGGAAATTCCCAAATATCTGCGGATATGTCGTCTTGTAATTTTGATCGTATCTCGCTCTCTTTCGAGGGGTCTCTGTCATCGCGTTTAGCCAACCCGAATCCCTTAAGTGTTTGAAACCTCATCTTTTTATGGCGATTAAAAAGCGTCAAACTGAGACTGATCATACAGAAAACTAAGTGCTAAAATCCAAACGAACGAATTTCCGATTTCCGTATTTTCATAATAGCAAAACGTGAGACGTATTTTGGACTCAAAATCCGTACAAAATACGGCGAAATCGTAAGAGTAAACAGGTCTGCAGATACATGTTCATTGTAGAATATATAAATCGACTTATGAGTACAAGTAACTTCATGTAAATGTCTTGGAAATGTAACAAAATAATACAGATGATAACATCTAATCCAGTTTTCACATAATGCCATGACCATGTGCGCTTTCCAATTCATGTTTCATTAAAATATGCAAAAACAATTCGATGACAATAAGCGTAGCTTTACATATTTGATAACTAAATAATATAAAACATTTTGCGCATAAAACTTACTCTTTGGACTGTCTAATAACAACGAAACAAGTGGCAAATTTTCGTTGACAAAATGCGGGATCTTCCCGGATATACACAAACATAATCTGAAACACTATAAAATCTGAACCGGAACGGATAATATCCGTAACACCACAACAATGTAAATATGGATACTCTAATTAGATTATTATACCATGGAATCAATGAAAGTACTTGGGCCAATCTTCGTATATTGCTTGAATTTTACAGGACGCAATTTCGTGTATTTATTCATATCTACAAACGAAATGTGATTTTGAAATATTCATTTGTGGAGGATGTAAATTCGTTGATGAAGGGTATCCACGAACATTGAGCCACTATGATATAACATATACATCCACGGTATTAAATACCGGTGTACATTACATATACATTTTACAATACTTATCACTTCTATAATAAAATAAATGATAAAGAGCACTAAAAAGTTCTTAAGATCGAAGTTTATATCGTTTATTACTCTAAAAGATGATGCTATCAGGGGATTATCTATGAGTAATATTATTTCAGCCCTTTTTTTCAAAGTTTTAAACTTGAATGAAATCTTAAGTATATTTCACTTAAGATTTCACTCAAGTTTACAACTAACGTAAATGTAATTCAAAATATTAGACGACTCATACAGGCTATAGTATGAGGAAGTAAAATCTAACAAATTTGCACATTTACTCTTTTATAGGATTTGGTTGTATGCTGTTAACTGTTTACTGCAATATTTCTGTGATATACGAGTTACTTGCTATTAAGCGGCGAGTTGGGCCTGGACTCAGCAAAGCGTCTTTCAAAGAGAAGCTGGACCACTTCAAGTTTATGGCAATCATGGCGATGGTGTCAATCTTCTACATCATATGCTCAACACCATATCTAGTACGTTCAGAAACTGTTAAGTATGCATTCTGCAAATATTTAACAAGAATGCAACAGATATCACGACCATCCGTCCAAAGTCAACCAACCATTTATTAGTTTTTTTCACACCCGTTACAAAAATGCGTAATGGCCAAAAATAAAGATTCTGACCCCTCCATGCTGGACTCCTGGGGGAATCGATCATACTTGGAATGAATCGTAAGAGGGAGCTGTATTCTATTTATTGTTCAAATTACAAAGTTATGCTTTATTTTGTCCAGTTTTATTGATCATCAAACATGAGGCAGGCTTTGAAGTTGAATAGAAGTAATTTTCCAGATTTCCCTACCCTTCAGACTTTAGCCGTTATAGGTTCCGCTTAATAGGCACGCACACAACCTAAGCGTCGTAAGAAAGAGAAATTCAATGAGAAGGTGACATGGTTAAAAGGAAAGAAAAGAGAAAAAATGCAATCTAATTAAAAAAGGGTAAAAAAAAAAGATTTACAGAACTCACCATGTAAAATTAAGGCAAAGGCTGACACAAAATAAATGATCTGGTAGCTAGGCTATACAGTGTGCATCCGTAGATGAAAGTTTGGTCTAGGTAACATTTTTAGGGCCCCGCTTGCGGGCGCCCTTCAGTGATCAGTCTATCCGTCCGAGATATCTTGTCCGCAGCATATCTTCTCTATCCTTGGCCCAATCTGGCTCATACTTCAACCACAGAGTGTCTTTGGATAAAAGGTGTGCAGTGACCTTGAATCATGTTTTTAGTTCTAAGGTTAAGGTCATAGCAGAATTATATGAACAATCCTTGTCCGGAGCATATCTTCCCTCCCCTTCGTCCAATGTGGCTCATACTTCACTCACAGAGTGCCACTGTTCAATGAATGTGCAGTGACCTTGAACGAAGTTTCTAGGTCAAGGTCAAAAATAACCTCTCTGTTTAAAATCTTTGTTCGGTGTATAATTTCTTGCCCTTAAGTCCAGTCAGCCTCAAACCTTACCAATTGACTTGGGTACGGAACAATTGTGATTTTCCTTCCATATTTTGATAGAGGATATGCGAAATTTTGATAGAGGATATGCAACATTCGTGATTTTTGTGCCGTTTTTTGTTAGAGGGTATGGAGCACTCGTGATTTTCGTGCCATTTTTTAATATAACAAGGATGACATAGAAGCCCTTTAGATTCAAACAACACATCCCTTAATAGTACACAAATGTTCCTCTTCAAAATAAACCCTTTTCAGCTATACCTTGCATTTTCATGTTCGTTGCTGAAAGCGGGGTCCTTTGAGATGGCCACCATCTCAATGATATCTAGTTGATACGTGGGAATGGACTTGCCCCGAAAACTATCCGTTCATGAAAGTTATATAAAACATGAGAAGCAAGTCTGGAAATGGAAATTGTATCCATTGATACATTATTAAGAAAGTTTTGCGATGATGACTAACTTAAAACTAAACTGTATGATAAATTGGATGACCAGATTTTGTCTGACATGATTCATACCACTGGTTAGGTCATTTGTTTTTATTTGACTACGGATTACTAGGAATACTACATCTCTCTGATCCGTGAAGACATGGCTCGCGACGGGCGTTACCTGTCGACTAGTCTTTCCTCTGGTGTTTCCAGATGTCCTTTTTTGCCCTGTTTACGATTTTTTAACGAGATTGATCACTGTTCTTTATTTTCACCTTTCACATACATCAGACATGCAGGTGTGGTAAAGGTAAGCTTAAAAGTTACTTTAAAATGGACCTGCTTCAAAAATTATAACATGCACACTCATCCGGATAATGCAGGTCAGATCCAGAATTTGTAAGCAAGCCAGGTAACTTTCAACCTTACATGCATCATCATTGTAAGTTGTCGCCCGCATGGCGCAGTGGTAAGAGCGTTCGCTCTAGAGTCAATTCTTACGTCGCGGGTTCGAATCCCACTGTGGGACGTGGAGACCGGTCCTTCGGATAGAACCGTATAAACCGAGGTCCCGTGTCGCAGTAGGTGCTGGCACGAAAAAGATCCCTCACTGCTCAATGGCCCTAAGTGCCGAGTATAGATCAAAATTTGCAGCTCTCCACCGGCAAGTGGTGGCGTCTCTATATGAGTGAAAAATTCTCGAGAGGGGCGTTAAACAATAAACAAACAAAATCATTGCAAGTTTAGTCTATGCAAAGCTAACATGTAGTTACTTGGGAATGGACCTTCTCCAAAACCTCTATCCCGTTCACTTGCTTGAAAAATATAGGTTAGAACCAGAATTCGAGGCAAGAGTAGTAGTGTGCATACCAAGCTGCATTATACATGCATGTTTGGTCATCACAGGGCTCAAACTTACTAAAGTTGAACCCGGCTGTACAAGAATGAAAAAAAAACGAGGTCTGTGAGCCATTGCTCACTAATAATACCCCCGCTCTGATGTCAATACACAAGTTCAGTTATGGACAAACACAGTGATAATCAAGAAATTGACATCGGATTTGTAAAAAATGGTATGCCTAAACAAACATTGTGTTAAAATTTCAAGCATATGCGATGAGTAGTTGCTGAGAAAACTGCGACCAAAATTTGTTATGTATGGTACGGACAGACGCACGGATAAACAGGAAGTTGACATCGGATTCGTGCGAAAATGAATCCCACCATATGGCTTGCCTAAACAAAGATTGTGCTAAAATTTCAAGCATCTTCGATGAATAGTTGCTGGGAAAACTGCGACCAAAATTTGTTATGTATGGTACGGACAGACACACGGATAAACAGGAAGTTGACATCGGATTTGTACAAAAATAATGAATCCCAACATATGGCATGCCTAAACAAAGATTGTGTTAAAATTTCAAGCACCTGCGATGAGAGTTGCTGAGAAAACTGCGACCAAAATTTGTTATGTATGGTACGGACAGACGCAAGGATAAAAAGGAAGTTGACATCGAATTCGTACAAAAATGAATCCCACCATATGGCATGCCTAAGCAAAGATTGTGCTAAAATTTCAAGCATCTGCAATGAGAAGTTGCTGAGAAAACTGCGACCAAAATTTGTTACTGACAGACACACAAGGATAAAACAGTATACCCCCCTCTCCTTCGGAGCGGGGGTATAAATATGCTCACAACAAAAAGATCTACTTTGACTTAAAATGTTAACCAAAGGGAATCATAAGCCGAATCGGATGAAAGGGAAAGTAAGTATGCTAACATGGATTTTAAGCAAAGGTCTATGACTTTTACCTCGAGATTTTGTTCAAGGTCACTGAACAACCTTTACACAGCATCGTGCTAGTAAGTATGACCTATATGGGCTGAGGGAAAATGTCTTAAGCCAAAGATTTTGAATATTTTTTTTTTGACATTTGGCCAGGAAAATGGTTCAAGGACCTTGCACACCCTGTAACCAAGACATTTTGTGGTTAAAGTTTAAGCCATATTGGTCCAAAGGGAGAACATTCGGGTCAAGTGATATTGGACCAATAGACGGACTAGTCAGTATAGGTTATTCGATAGGCCAGGCCTTATTAACTTTGAATAATTAAACTGAATGCAAAATTTCCTTGATACAACACAATATCTTTAACTAGTTATATATAATACCTGTATTTTCTAAACAAAAACAAAATTAAAAAAAAAAATCAGAAATATTGTTGTCATCCTGATCTGTCTATCTGTCACATTGTCTTCTAAGACTTCCTTAAATTACTCTTAAATTTTAAGCAGTAGCCAACTCATCTTTAAGAATTATATGATTTGTGGTGCCTTAAAGCTTGAACATGAGTAAACAGGTTTTGAGATTTAATTTCTTTTTCCATTCGCGACGGGTAAAATTGAGGTAAAACAATATTTATATAAAACAACTGGTCGCAGTACTTCGATTATATTTTGGAATATGAATAATAGTGTCCAGTAGATGTGCAATAAGATTAAATTGTTATTTTCACTCTAGGGGTCGAGTGAGGATCAAAAAACTTGTTTCTGTGCAAAAACCTGGTTCCCTGGCTTCTTATTTTTTCTGCAGTAGCCAGCCTATCTTTGTATTATGATTTGTGGTGTCCTGAAAGTGTGCAATAAGGTTTCAGAATTTCACCCTGGGGGCGATTGGGGTCAAAAACAGACTTTCTGGTAAAGTATAGAATAAGTGAGATTTTCTTCCTTCAAGATCACATTGATCTTCCAAATAAAGTTTGGTCAAGTCTCTTCTTGGCCTTCTCTGTCAAGGTTACAGGCCTATCCGTCTTTTATTTACTAGCCATGCTGCTTTGTTAATAAGTACGCTTGCGTGAATAGCATGGGAGGTAAAACTCCTAACACGTTACGTTGTATATTTTTATGGGCCTTAAATAATTTTATATTTATTAATTTGAATGGAATTATCAAAATTATTAATCTTTTAAATTTCTGAAAGTTTTTACATTTATGAAAATTTATAAAAATTTGGAATTCGATCAGAAAATTTTATCGAGTCGTTTTTTTATTTAATTATTTTTTATAATTATTTTTATTTATCCGTTTTTTTTTTGCTGAGATTTGCCGTGCTGTCCCTTTAACAGGTCGGGTACACTACCTTTTATGGAAGGCACTTTTCAACACGTGACGATGTTTTCGTCTAACCCATTCCCCAACCAATTGAATGAGTCGCAAAGCATGACGGTCTACTACGTGTTTACGATTCAATAGCGACATGTGGTTTTCCTCGGTTTACAGTATAATATTTACTTGGTCACCGGAAAAACCGTACAGCTTCTTTTTACTTTATAAGGCTAAAATTGAAAGATTATATTCCAAAGACACTGTTCCATGCTCACATTTGATATTTGAGTTGTTATAGATGATTAATAGTTGCTTCAAACACCGTACAAACACTTTGACGTTTGCGTGTACATTAACACGTTTTGATGATATAATATATAATGATTGTGCGCCTTGTACTGCTGTCTAAATTTATGTTCATGTATATCACGTGAAAAAACACACTCAATGCTTTATCGACACAATAGTACCTACGTCT